AGGTGCGGGGTGGATTATGGGTTGTCCGTTTAGCAGGACCGGGGATGTTGCAGCTGCTGTGTCCCGCCTGTGCTTGAGCTGCGTGAAAGGAGGGAGGAGGGAGGCTATGGCGAGAGGGAGGAGGGGGGAGGGGATGGGCTATGAGAAAGGAGGGAGGAGGGAGGGAGGAGGGAGGAGGAGGGAGGCTATGGTGAGAGGGACGAGGGAAGGCTATGGCGAGAGGGACGAGGGAAGGCTATGGTGTGAGGAAGGAGGGAGATGGTTGATGATCATTGCGCGGAGGAGGAGGGGGTAGGGGGTGCGCTACGTGAAAGGAGGGAGGAGGGAGGAGGAAGGCTATGGCGGAGGAGGAGGGAGGGAGCCTATTGCGGAGGAGGGAATGGGAGGATGATGAAGAGCGAAGAGGAGGGAGACAATGGAGAGGAGAGGAGGACGCAGGCGATGCAGAGGGGGGGAAGGAACGAGGCAATGGAGAGGGAGGAGGGAACGGCGCTATGAGAAAGGAGGGGGGCTATGGCGGCCAATGACGTAGAGTTGGTGGGGGGGTACGGCGGAAGAGGGAGGGCGGGCATCACAAAGAGGGGAGGAGGAGGGAGGCAATGGAGGAAAGAGAAAGGCGATGGCCACCAGTGAAGAAGAGCAGGGGCCACGTACAGTGTTTGGCGAGGATCTCGAAGAGGATCCCAATGGAGGAGAGAAAGGCGTGGAGAAAGAGGGGAAAGGAGAGGCGACAGACACATGATAAGGAGAGGAGCATGGGGAAAAGTGGATTGGTGGGGGGAAGATCGGAAGTGGGATGCAGGGCGCAAGTTCAAAGATGGAATCGGCCAGGCGGAAGGCAGGCAATGGATAAGGAAGAAAGGGGAAAAGGCGAGTGGGTAGAGGGGGGAGAGAGAGAGAGAGAGAGAGAGAGGGGGGGAGAGAGAGAGAGAGAGAGAGAGAGAGAGAGAGAGAGAGAGAGATTGGTTTTGGGGGAGGGGAGGAGGGAATGAGGTTCCGGTCCCCCCCCCCCCTCTCCTCTGTACTGGAACTCTTTTTGCTATGGCTGTGACATTGGGACCTGCTGTAAAAACATTCGCTGTTCTGAGCGGAAAAGAGAGAATGAAAATAAAAGTGGGAGTTTCTTGTATTTGTAAGATATGTGGTATCACTTTCCTGTCTTCTGCGTCACACACACACACACACACACACACACACACACACANACACACACACACACACACACACACACACACACACACACACACACACACACACACAGAGCGAGAGCGAGAGAGAGAGAGAGAGAGAGAGAGAGAGAGAGAGAGAGAGAGAGAGAGAGAGAGAGAGAGAGAGAGAGCAGGGACAACGCTGCAGGGGGACATGATGGGAGGTGCATAGAAGCATATAATTGGTCCATTCCATGCATAGTAGGCTAGTAGCATATACTTATATTTTTGCTGTTTTCTTTCAAAAATAGATTTTTCAACTTTTTTTTATTTTTGGAACTTTTCCTCTTAATTTTGCAGATCCCTGTCTGTGATTCTTTTTCCTTTGTTTTTTTCCTCCCCTCCCACTTAGTGCTGAATCTTCTCTGATGCTTTATTTGGTTGTGGTGCAGGTGAAAGGGAGCCAGCAATCGGTCAGCATGACTGGCGGCGAAAGAGACGTATCCTTTTTTTTTTTTTTTTTTTTCAACCACCACTACCTTTCACAGGCAAAGGCAAAGTCCATATATTAGCCTACTCCGGAAAACACGGGGCTCGGGACAGGGTTGGAGGCCGGCGGGTGGCACGTAACTGTCTCAATGCTGTAGCATCCTGTATTTGTCCTCAATCACAGCATAAGGGAGCTTTTTTTTTTGTTTTGTTTTTTCCCGATGTTTGTCCGCTACACGCCCTCACTGAGGGCACAGTCACACAAGCACCTCATAGAATGGATCTGGTGGCGTTCGGGAAGTTTCTTTTTTTTTTTTTCCTTGTTCCTCATTGGACGAAACTGCGCCGGCTCAGCAAAGCTCGGTGCGCAGTGAAAATCAGGCTCGGCAAAAACAGGATCGGAGGTAGTGGTGGTTTAAGGGTGCAGGGCATAGTTGCGGCGCACCAGTGCACAGTGCGGTGCGGGGCAGTGTGCACTGCGCTGTGCGCTGGAATGACAGCGCGCACACTGTGCGCCGTGCGCTGTGCGCGGTGCGCGCGCTGAGGGAGGTGCGCCCTGTGCGCGAAAATAAATAAATAAAAAAAATAGACAGGCAGAGAGAGAGAGAGAGAGAGAGACATCAAAGGGTCCCCTTCACGTCAATTCGAGGGCCCCTGCAGGTACCTCGAATGGATCCTATAATACATGTGGAGCCATTGAGGGCCACTGCTTCAATGAGAAGGATAGCCTCGTCATGTGTGGAAGAGATGGGGGCAGACCACCAATATATGCTGTGGATTCGAGTTCAGGGCTGTAGCTAGGCAGTTATGGGTCACCAATTCAGCTAGACCCTGTTCGTGTCTCCACGTGATTCTCAGGGCCTCCCTCCACCACTCACCAAAACGCATATAGTATTAGTAGAATGAATCTTCTGCTAAAACATGGAACCATACACCGCCATATGCTATGTCTTTTGTGCATTTGGTTAGTGGAGCAGGCCCCACTGGACGTGTTCGTAAGAAAACAAAAACAAAATAACGAGAGAGCCACGGGCATCTTCATCCTAACCCATAACTGCCGTCATGCAGACCTGAACGCCAATCTTCACCATATATTGGTGGCCAGCTGGCCATGGTAATCGCAACTTGTGACATCTGCAAACCTTCGCAGGGAAGGTCGTTATTAGGCGACTACTCCTCCTTGCGAACTTATCCCATCACTGTGTGGGATGTGCAGAAGGGAGCGGGAAGGACATCTTCCATACCCCACCTAAAAAAAAAGTTGGAATGAGCCCTGCGTCGCCATTCTGAAACTTTTGGGGGAAGGGCCTGCGGAAATCGAAATTCGGCAGCCCTTACCCAAAAGAAAAACTCGGGCCAGGGGCGTGGCTGGTTTCCATGAGTTAACATTTTTGCCGAGTTGGGGGCCCTAAGAAATTACAAAACCACTAATTGTTTTTTTTGTTTTGGGGGGACCTAATTTTTCCAGTGTGCTGCGCTTCGGTGCGCCGTGCGGTGCGCAATTCGTGCGCAAATCCGTGCACCGAGGTGCGCCGCAACTATGGTCCAGGGTGTAATAGAGGAGAAGAGATGTATCCTTTTTTTTTTTTTTAAAGGTCCGGGGTGTAGTAGAGGAGATGTATCCTCTTTTTTTTTTTTTTTTTTTTTCAAAAGTTGATTTGAAGTTTTCTGTCAGCCTTTCTGAATGTCTGTGGCAGTATGAAGCTCTCGAGTTCTGAACAGCTATAGGCAGGTGATGTGCTGTTAGCCTGTTACCTCCATGTGCGGGTAGTACTGTGTGCTATGTATGTGGCAGTGTGACCTCTAACAAGGTAAAAAAAGTGTTGATACCTACGCTTCGCATCTCAAGTGTGTCCTTGATTCTGCAGGAATGTTTCTGTATGTCCTTTCCTTTTAGTCCCGATCCAGACAATTTTTTGGGTCCCGGGAACCCGTCCGGACAGTCCGGGTCCGGTACTGTCTGGATGTTTGGTACCTGTATGGATTTCCGGACGTCTGGATTGATCCAGGCGTATCTGTGGTTTTCTGTCTGGACCGGTCGTCGGTTACAACAGTGATAACGCAGTGCCTTTGTGCAAGCTTGTTAAAAAAAGTTAAAAGTGCTGCCATATCTATTTGTCTAGAATTTACTTTCATTTTAGTCATTTTTACTAATTTACTAGGCTACCAAAGTGGCCCGGGGCCACTTGCCTGCCCGGGACAAAAAAAAAAAGAAAAAAAAGAAAAAAAAAAAGAAAAGAATTTTTAACCTTTTTTTTTTTTG